ACATAACAATTGTAAAAGTGACACTGCACAACACCATAATGGTTTGCACACTTGTCCTACTAATGACCAAGACCTACTGTACTCTAAAACGCGCACAGTCATGTAAAAGCTAACAGAGAATTGTCTCCTGGGGTGGTTGACCAACCACTCGTATCTGTCAGGAATGCCCACTGTTTCCAATTTTCTTTAATTTCATTGTAGATGTACTAATAGATGTGATGCTAACTGACTCGATCGACATAAAGATTGACTTTTTGCCAGGAAATAGTTTCATCGACGCTAGCAAAATGCAGAATATTCTAAACGACTTGAGCAGAAATCATGGAATGTTTGGGATATGATTCACCTCTCTTTAATGTAGGAAGATACTGGAGTATTGGCCTGCAACGACTACCCCCCTAGTTTAAAGATAGGGAGAGAATTGGTTCAGCAAGGTGACCACTTCACACTTATGTGTGAAGTTACATCTGCTCTAATTCACTAAGGATGACGAAATCTCAGCAACGATCGTACGGCTCTTTCCATCCTACATCATGAATGACTACCGACCCAGTTCGCTCTTTCTTTTTTTATGGCTGTAAGAAATGTCTATTGAAAGTGGAAGAAGAGATTGACGGTCTTTGGTTGCAGATGTTTGCGCTCTATCTCCCAAGTTACATGGTTTACATATGGTGAGTAACATTCAGCTTAGGCGTAGATTGTTAGGTAATAAAGGGAAGTCGAATGAGATAACTAGAGCAGGTATTACGCATGACAAGACGTCGCCTTCGGTTTTTTTGAGCGATATAAGCTGGTTATATATATATGGCCATTTGGTTAAGATAACAAAGCCAGATAGGTGCAGATTGTTGGATTTGATAAGTGTGTAAAATTATACAAAAGCAGCATGTGTTTACATAATGAAATTGCTTATCATATTGATGTTGATTTTGTTATTTCATGGGGGAGGGGGATGTTGTAACCAGGTCAAATTCTGTTTAAGTTCATCATTCCACTTGATATGAGGTGCTTCTGATGGATATTTGACGTTCTTTGTGATTTCTGAAATGCTTTTTCTGGATGACGATTTCAATATTGTCAAAATCAATTATGTGACCCGACTCTGAAGCGTGTGGACAAGCTATAATAATCATAATAATGAAAATAATCTTCCTTCACATTCCCAGTGGAACATAGGGCTTCAAGCTAGAGGCTTGAAGTTTCTGTAGCAGGAGTGTTTATTTTACAGGATGGGGTCGCTAGCCTCATGCCCAAAATTTCCTCTTTACCAGCATTTTTATCTGGCTTAGCAAGGTAAAGGAGTGCGTCGGTGGCCGGGATCGAACCTCGGACCATGTGCATGGTCGGCGAGCGTCCAAACCGCTATGCCACCGACGCACTTTTTTTAAAGCCGGCAACACCCATGCAAGTACTAACCGGGCCCAACGTTGCTTAACTTCGGTGATCGGACGAGAACGGGTGCTTTCAACGTGATATGATCGCCGACAGACAAGCCATGGAGGGTGATTTTTCAAGCTTTTCTAGTTCAGCTGGATTTCTCAGTAATAGAACAGAGGCGGCTATACGGTGTTCGCTTCGTAGTGTGTTTGATGTTTTGAAGAAAACTCTGATGTCGAGCTTATTGAGTACTCTTCTGATATCGTCTCCGCTCTGTCTGGAATGACAACACTTGAGGTCCATGTTTTCGGATTAGTAAAATTACAATTAGGAATTAATATGCCATAATAAAGAGGAGAGGGGGCGGATAAAACTCAAACAAAGTAGCATCATAATTATTGAGAAGATTGACATTGATTGTGCAATTGGGGGGTTAGAAATGTAGAAATAACAAAAATAAACAGATGTTTGGATAAAAAATCTAGTGGGATCATAATTAATGTGACGAATAATTGTATATGCAATCAGGGATTAAATATGTACAAATAATAAAATGACAAAATAGACAGGAAGTTCGGATATGAAAATATGGTAGTGTAAACAGGGATTAAGAAAAACTTAAAATAACATGAATAAACAGGAAGTTTGGATAAGAAAGGCAATTGGATGGTCATTATTAAAAGAATTACCTGTTTATGATTGCTGTGGCAGGGACAAGGGTTGGACATATTTCTTTGGATACATAGCGTGGGTTTAAGCTTTTGGATAGCTAGTGCCTCGGCTATGCCAGATGTCTTAATTTCACTTCCTTTGATAGGTTTGACTGAATCTTGTATATTATTCTGGAGGATTTTTCGAATGGCACTGAATGTCCTGAATTGACCAGATTTCTGTCACTTAACTATACAAACCTTTCCGTTCTCCTTTTACCAGCCAGGGTGGATGGTGTTCACGCGCGCCTGTTTTCAAGCTGGCGCAAGGTACGGCCGATGTACTCAGCTCCGCACTAGCAAGTAAACTGGTATATGCACGTTGAAGTGGCCAAATGCGACAGCTTGTCCTTCGACTTCTGGCTGAACAGTTTCTTGCAGGAAAACGTTAGTTGTAGGCTTAAGGAGAAGCATGTTTTCCTCAGAGATTTGGAGATGCGTTTACGAAGGATTTCTGCTTCAATGTTACCTTTGAATTCTGGATTAAGCAGAAGTATCTTCTTCTTTTTCGGGACGGATTGAACTTGTTCGAAAGTCTTTTTCGGCTTTAGATTCTTGTCTATGAACTCAGGCGGAAAACCGTTTTCCATAAGGGTTCTTCGAGATTAAGCAGTTCTTCGTCAACCATTTCCTTGCTGCATACCTTCCGAATCCTCGAGGAAAGAGTGTATATACGGTTCGTCTTTCTGCTTAGGGGCACGAATCTTCGAAAGTTAATGAATTGTCCATTCCATGTAGGCTTTTTGTGAATTCACCATTTCAGAGAGTTGTCGGCGTTTCTTGTGAATTGATTGTGATAATATCCACCCGTTGGATTGATCTCTGACGAAATCTCAGTACGAACACAGAGGGTTAGTTTTGCATATGCCAGTTTACGCCATTTCTGGCGTAGACGTGACATCCGGTTATCGACCAAGGGTGTGTGTACTGTTCTGCTCAGTACAGCAGTTCGCTCCGTTCTCCTTTATGGCTGTCGATGAGACATGGCCGCTGAAAGTGAAAGATATGAAAGGGCCAGCTAGCTGTCTTTGATCATAGGTGCCTACGTTCTATCTCCCGTGTAAAGTGGTTTAATAGAGTGAGCAATATTGAGGTTAGGCTTCAGGCGAGTGCTAGATAAGGAGGGAGGGGAAATCAATCGACGAGGCTGTGAAGTTACATCGATTGAGATAGTTAGCGCATGTGTTACGTATGCCTAGTCATCGCCTTCCTCGACTATAGGCAATGTTAGCTAACATAGGATCAGGCTGGAAAAGAGCTAGAGGCGGTTAAACCAAAACATGGCTCATCAGTCAATGAAATCTACGACAGTTAGTTTAAGCCAGCCAGTCACGTTAGGAGGGGCAGACTGGCTTCCTGGTTGTGGTCGTCGAGACGGTGAACACTAATGGCTGGAGACAATCGGTGATATGAGTGAAAATCATTCTCAATGGCTAGTACATATTCATCTACTCCTTGTGACTTATAATATCGGATGAAATTATATTGTTCTTTGTTATTACTATTCCTTTAGTCTCATATCCCTGTTTACTGTATCTATTATTCATTTCTCCTACTTTCTTCTTTTGCTTTGTGTGCTACAAGGATGGAGTGTGGCGACTTGAACTGCCGCACATCGGTGCAAAGTTCTATGTCGAAAACAGACAGACAGGCAGACAGACTGCATATCTTCCGAATCCTCGAGGAAATAGCGTATGCTTAGTTAATCTTTTACTCGTACATCTACGTTTTATTCGTTGACATTTTTTTCTCTAATTTTGTATGCTTATATGGAATGCAGTAACTTGAACTGCCTTTACTTTTGTAAAACGAAAAAAAAGAAAAACTTTTTTCTCGAGACTAGCCACATACTTTTTAAGCTTTTAATAATAATAATAATGAGATAACTGCATCAGATTTGATCATTCACAATCAAAATTGGCTTACTAACTAAGCAAGCGTTTTTTTATTTTTACCATTATATGCTGACTTAGATGGTTTTATTTTTAATTCATTATGGAACCAAAAAGTTGAATGACATTCAGGTGAATCTGTCTGTCTGTCTGTCTGTTTTCGATATAGAACTTGGCACCGATGTGCACCAGTTCAAGTTGCCACACTCCCTCCTTGTAGCACACAAAGTAAGAGAAGAAAGTAAAGAGAAATGCAAAATAGAGACAGTAAACAGAGGTGTGAGACAAATGAATAGTAGTAACGAAGAACAAAACAGTTTCATTGGAAATTATAAGTCACAAAGGGTGGATGCATCGGCGTCAGCCACTGAGAACGACTTTGGGCCATATCACCAATTGTCACCAGCTTATATTGGTTTTTACTTTCCCGAGGACCCCAACGAGGAAGTCAGTCTACACCTTCCTATGTGGCTTGAACTAACTTGTGGATTTCATTGACTTATGAGGTCATGTTTTGGGTTGACCACCGATAGCTCTTTTTTAACTTGACCCTATGTCAGCTAACATTGCCTGTGTGTCGAGGAAGGTGATGGCTAGGCATACGTAACACATTTCCTAACCATCTCAGTCGATGTAGCTTCACAGCCTCGTCGATTGATTTCCTCTCCCTCTTTAACTAGCACTCGCCTGAAGCCTAACTTCAATATTGCTCACCCTATAATACCACTTAACATACACAGGAGATAGAACGCAGACACCTGTGATCAAAGGCAGCTAGCTAGTCTTTTCATATCCTCCACTTTGAATTGCCATGTCTCATCGACAGCCATAAAGGAGAACGGAAAGAACTGTTGAGCAGAACAGTACACACGTCCTTTGGTAAATAGCTAGCCGGATATATCACGTCTACGCCAGAGACGGCGTAAACTGGCATATGCGAAATCTGCCATCTGTATCCGTGCTGATATTCAGGTGAATAAGAACCAATTACACACACACATACACACAAACACATACTTACTCTAAAACCCATTTATTTGTATTAATGTTAAATCCAGCGACTAGATCATCAGTATTTGTTGCCAGAAGAAATCGTGCCAGTGAAATATTCGCACATGCTGTATGTGGTGCTTCACGTACTTCAACCTGTGTAGGATCATACAACTCTGCGAGTGATTTAATCCGATTATCTGCAACAGACCATTCAACAGCTGAATCTCGACGTTTTAAAACAGGACCATCACGTGTTGGTATTTTAGTATCTTTGTTTGTTGTTGACTTCATGTCGGGAAGTTGATCTAGACCTTTGCATCGTATATGAACAAAACCAGTACATCCAAGACCAAGTAGGACACATGAACCCTCCTTTATAAAAAAAAACAAATAACAATACAACAGTAAGGTGAATAAATTATAAGATGTAGAATTATGCAACTATGTCACTACTATAGAATTAATACACCAAATAGGTACTAAGATAGTGGAATCGCACTCAGCGTACTGCAGAACTGTCTATATGAGGATGCTTTCGAGCTGATGGAATGATTTCTAGACTAAAACGCAGGGATATTAAGTGCTTAGTATTTCATACACACATCATCCCTGTGTAACAATTCTAGGCTGGATTCAGGAGGAACAAGTTGTCATGCATCGCAACACTATGGATCATCATTGAACAACAGAGCTTAGAATGGCAGTAAGTTCTCCACCTTACTCAACTTCATTGATTTTGAAAAGGACTTCAACAGCGCGGCGTCGATCGAGAGGTGATTTGGAAACTGCTTCGTTACTACCAAGAAGTGCCGCCAACAATTATACATCTCATCCAACAGTTGTACAACAATGCTGTATGCCAAATAATCCACAACGGGAAACTCACGGAATCCTTCGAAGAAGTAAAGACGGAAGTAAGACAAGGTTGGTTGGCTGCCTACTATCTCCAATGATTTTCCTGATTGCGGTAGACTGGATAATTTTTTATTTTTATTTTTGATTACAGCTTGATTCCACACTGTATTTTTAGTACAAGTATGGAATTTTCAGCGTGGATATCGGTAGCCCAAAATTCGCAGGCCGACCATAGATATCAGGTGTGCGTCGGCGTGGGCTCGAACCCCGGACCATGTGCATGGTCGGCGAGAGTCCTGACCACTGTGCCACCGACGCACAGACAGACGTGACAGACAGCAGGCCGAGCGATGAGGAGACAGGTATAAAGTGGACTCACACAAAAAACTTGGAAGACCTGGACTCCACCGATGATATATGTCTGATTTCTCACAAACTGGAAGATATGCAAGTGAAAAGCAACAAGCTGGCAGAAGAAGCATCCAGAGAAGATCGGACTTCAGGTGAACATAGGGAAAACAGAGGTGATGATGAAGATCCCTAGCCAACACCAACAACAACAAGCAACCAGCATAAATGAGAGAAATCTGAAAGAAACAACCTACCTCGGAAGCATCGTTTCAACTACAGGCGGACGGAACTGATGAGGATATCAAAACGAGAATCTGGAAAACAAGACAAGCTTTCATTTCTCTCAAGTCTGTGTGGAGGTCGACAGCACTACTCAGAATGAAAATGAAAATAAGATCCGTACTTTCAACTCCAATGTGAAGTCAGTGCAGCTATACGGATCAGAGACTTGGCGCCGTGTCACGAAGGCCACTTCAAACAAACTACACACCTTCATCAACAACTGTCTTCGCCCAATACTACTCAAGATCAGATGGCCGGCCAGAAAACATCAGCAACAGGGATCTCTGAGAGCCAACCAACCCAGCAGGACCCAATTGTGCAACAAATATGCAGGAAGAAATGGAGGTAGGTGGATTGGAGGCCATACTCTGAGAAAACAAACCATCAGGTGACATGACACGACACGCCATGCCATCGCTTGAGTGGAACCCGAACAGGAGGCAGCGAGTTGGTCCTCAGTATGAGGGTGATATGGGGTGGAGAAGGTGATGTGAAGAGGAGATGAAAGCATGTGGGCAGACGCGGAACCGGGTGAAAACGTTGGCAGAGGACCGAACGCAATGGAGACGTGAGGCTGAAGCTCTACGTTTCTCTAAGAACTAAAGAAAACAGTAATAATAATAACAATCTAAACGTCATATTTACTCTCGATACATCAAGGATTACACTGTAAAACAGAAGACATGGGCCAATCAACAGATCGTTTATTAAGGAAATCAACACATGCCCAACCTTCCCTCTTAACCATTCTGATTACTAGCTTAGCGAGGTAATGGAGGAGTGCGTCGTTGGTCGGGAATCGAACCCCAAACCACTTGCATCGTCGGCAAGCAGTCTACTTCTCTTAATGTGATTCTAAAAAGTTTTATTTTGATAACTCTGTTGTATTAGAAACAGATTATTTCTCACTCCTTCCTTATTGATACCACTACCTCCCAATTTACACTCAATTGCCCGAAAATAAGACATGAGGTATAAAACTACACCACGTCTTTAAAACAAGCAACAAGAGGAGGCTAATAAAGCAGGATTTAATGAATTCATCGAATTTCGGTAGAACTCGTCAGCTGCTCAGTACTCTACATACACGGTTATATATATATACTTTTGAAATATAAGACTGATGAGTAAACAAACTACTTTGAATTAGTCATGCAGAAAGACAAGTGGGTGCGAATGTTTTCCCTACGACCTATGTATTTGCTTCCACAAAACACACTCATGTCTTCTGAAGTTTCTCTTGCAACTAACTATGACGATACGAAAGTAAAAAAAAGCTGATAATCTACATTGATCTGTAAGTACTTATTATGAGTAATTAATGTTATACGTGTCTAAATCTTGGTGTTGGTGCAGCAGACTGAGGTTGTAATGCGGTCATCATCAACGTTTCCTACTAGTTTATACCAGTGAAGATGCAACGACAGAAGACAAGGGCCAGGCAACAGATCGATTATTGAGAAAATCAATAGATATTTATAGATTTTTATATACATTACTATTCGTTATTGTTAGCAGAGAAGCAACCTATTCTGATTGATTGTTTTCTTCCTCAAGGTTATTCTGTCATCCTATTGGTGGCCGCTTCCTAGAAATTTAAGCCATATATCTGCGAATCGTATTTGCACACGTTAAATTGCTGTGATTGGTTGGTGAGTTCCTCAAGATTAAGCTATATTCTTGTCTTTTCTCATGACCTCGATTCGGGACGTAAATATTGACGTAAATTGTTGTCTACAATGTTTGGCTAGCAGACAGCTCTCACCACACCTTATTGCTAGACTATTATCAAGTATATTCAAGTGTTAGTTTTTCAGGGATTTGATTGGTTACAACAGGTTTGACAGCGGGTTGCCATCAGTTGGAGAGCCATTAGAAAAGCAGGGAGTGATGGACAGCTGTTTCGTCAGCTTAGTTTAGGAATCTTCAGTCAGTTGTAAGCACTTACCAAGGTTAGAGCATCCAGTACCTACCGGTTACAAGGCAAGCTCGTAAATCACCCAGCCATTAGGACCTAAACCAACGGCTCTTGAATTCCAGCTCCCATCAATGCGCTATAGATATATATATATATACATGGCGTATGGGTGTATATATGGGCGTCGGTGGCACAACGGTTAAGACGCTCGTCGATCATGCACATGGTCGGGGTTCGATCCCCGGCCACCGACGCACTCCTTCACCTCGCTAAGCCAGTAATGAAAAATCGGTAAAGAGGAAAGGTTGTGCATGAGGCTAGCAACATCATCCTGTTAAATACACACTTCTACAGAAATTTCAAGCCACTAGCTTGAAGTCCTATGTTCCACTGGGAATGTGAAGGAAAAATTTATTATTACTGTGGTAGAGCATGATTCCATTATGGGTAAAAAATTTTATTTTGATAAAGTCTCACAGTGTTATACAGTAATGTTTACTGATGACCACGTTTCGAGCACAATTTATCAGAGCTTATAATCATATCAAGGTACTCACTCACACAACTTTCTAACTTCGTTTATATAAACCCATTATTTCCCGCAGCTTGATTTGATTGATAGTAGTATTTTACATATTTCCGATATGAGAGATGAGTCATTCTTATTGCATATGTTGGGTGTAGACTCGATGAACCAAGATTAAGTAGTCAATCTCTCCCTTCATCTACCAGCATTACTTTCTACAATTTTCACTCTGTCCCACCCAGCCCATTGTGTGGTTGTGTTTTAATGCATGCACGCAGTGGAATCGCTGAGCTTTCGTCTAAATTAGTGGGATCAATCATTCCAAGCTTAGATAAATTCTTATCTTCTGATAATCTCACTACTACTAATCTACTAGACTGACATTTGTACTTAACTTCACTCATGTTCATTGCAAGGTATTTTGTTAATGATAATATTTTGTCTAATTGGATCAACTGGGTCCTTTAGCCTACAGAGCTTGTTCTGCCTGAGTGATTTTGTAGGTTTGAATGCCACCATCCTAATTCCTGCTTTATTGAGACTCCTACGTGGGGACGGTATCAGATGTTCCCTCCCTCCTTATATGCTAAAACTACTCTAGATCCCTTATATTCTCTCTTATTTATGTTATCATTATTAGTTCCACCATTATATTCATTTAGCTTGTGACCTTTTCTGATCTTTCTGACAAATTTTATGGGATAGTTACTTGATGTCAACGCGTCTTCTTCGACCTTTTTTATTTTAAGTGTTGGTTTGTAGGAATTTGACTGGTTTCAGGATTTCATCATGAGCTGACATTAGTTAGAGAACCATTGGGAAACCTGCCAGGGAGTACTGGACAGCTGTTTCGTCCTAGTTTGGGACTCTTCATCAGTACGCACCCACCGGGATTCGAACCCAGGACCTTCCGGTTACAAGGCTAGCGAGCTCTTAGACAATTAAGCCACTGGGACCCGATCCAATGGTCCTTGAATTCTAACTTCTGCCAATTCACGACATAGCGCGACCACTAGCCAATGTCTTCGATGGCGAGTATTTGCCTCACACCCGACCTGCTGCACCCTACTGGTCACGACTTCCCACTGGAACCCAGATAACTAACTACCTACCTGAATAGGGCCAGTCGCCAGTCAGCATCTCATCGGTATTTAAGTGTTGGTTTGTAGGGATTTGACTGGTTTCAGGGTTTCATCATGAGCTGACATAAGTTTTTTTATATTTTTTTTATTTTATTTTATCCCTTAGGCTTTTGGTTGTACTGCTTAGTGATATTGCTTGGTTTGTTAGACATTTAACTAGGTCTACCTTGACAGACAGATAACGGATGAGATGAAATAGAGTCTAAATATCTATCAGCAGAATGCGTTGTTGTTGCTTTTTTTTTTATAAACGCCGCTAGTGTGCACTTTACCTTCTTCTATTCGTTTTATTTTACAATCTAACACCATAGCTAATTCTCTTTGTGCATTTTCCGATTCAAATGTGTATTTTATTCCCTTTACTAGTAAGTTTATGTGTGTGAAGAAACTGTTTTTAACACTGTAAAAATGTCACCCACATATCTCTACCATAATATCCTTGGATTGGGATTAAATGTATTAATAGCCATATTTTCCTAACTATGCAAAAAGATAACTGCTAGGATAGGGGATATTAGTGATCCCATTGTTACACCTGTTTGTCTATATATTCTGCCCTGAAATTCAAAGACAGTAGATGCGAGACAATGCGTCGGTAGCATAGAGTTAGAGTGCCCCCGGACCACGCACTCCTTTACCTCGTTACGTCAGTAATAAGACTGGCAAAGAGGAAAGGTTGAACAAGCGGCTAACAGTAACCCCATCCTGTAAAAAATAATCATCACTGCTACAGAAACTTCAAGTCTCTAGCTTGAAGCCACTCTATGTTCCACTGGGAAACGCAAAGGAATAAAAAAAAAGGTGTGAAGCATAACAGAATTCCTACAGTTATTTTTTTCAATGGGCAGCTTTATCCTATGACTAAGTTCAGGATCAGAAGTTACTTATCTTTCAATAACCGCTTCTCAGGGCATACCGTTGGTCTCCATTATACATAATGAGGATAGTGTAAATGAGTTAGCCTCAAGATTCGTCAGTGTTCTTCTGTATAGAAAGCTGATTGATAAACATTCAGTATGTTGGGGTGTAGACTATTCATAAGCAGTACCAGCTTGTAGTTTGTCAGTTACTCCTAAAAGATCTACTGTCTGTTCACCAAAGATTAACGGCTTCTATTTTCAGCCGACATTTTGGGCTGATTCTGCATTTAAAAGCCATCACATAAAGTTGTAGGATTCATTGAATATAACAAGTTGACTGAGACTGGCCGATAACTGCTACCTTGTCGTGGTGGTCAGGCTTGAATACCGTAATGACCCAACATGCTAAACTGACTGGGACTCTGTCCCTGCAGGTCCCACCATGTCAGGAAGGTTGTTTGGATAGCGCTTAAACTAAAAGCAGTTACCATGGGGTACATGGGCTATAGTAGCCAATCGGATCAAATGGCGTATGAACCCATATGGGTCACCGGAAACCATGGGAATGCAGCTCCTGACGCTGCTCTGCTGCCTTTCGGATTAAACTCCAAGTCGAAGGCTCGGGTGGTGATCCCTTAATAAAACCACCTGCTTCGGTCTTGGCACCCGGGCAGTATCTCAGCCCTCACACAATGAATTGAATAAAGCAACAAACAATCAATGAAACTTATCGCTTGCTATTACACGTGTAGCAATTTCCTTCTTTCTTCCCTTCCCGATGATAGCTAACGAATACTGTTTGAACTTGTTAAGCATGACTGTTTTCCTTCCAGATGAAGTTCTTTATCCGTTCTCTCTCTCTCTCTCTCTCTCTCTCTCTCTATATATATATATATATATATCTTTTTTCGTTTCTTCCTTTTGGTCTATGTTGTTTCATTATTATTTTGTGGAGCATCCTTCTTATTGCCATATTGTACCAAGCTTTTATGCGTTTAAGTAAAATAAAATAATATAAATTTCCTTTAATTCCTAGAGGAACATAGGGCTTCAGCCTCACGTCTCCATTGCGTTCAGTTCTCTGCCAAGATTTTCACCTGGCCCCACATCTGCCCACATGCTTTCATCTCCTCTTCACATTACTTCCTCCACCCCATGTCACCCTCACACTGAGGACCAACTCGCTGCTTCCCGTTCGGGTTCCACTTGAGCGATGACGTGTCGTGTCATGTCACTTGATGGTTTTTTCTCAGATTATGGCCTCCAATTCATCTACCTCCATTTCTTCCTGCATATTTGTTGCACAATCAGTTCCTGATGTGTTGTTTCGTTCATTGCCAGAGATCCCTGTTGCTGATCTTTTCTGGCCAGCCATCTGATCTTTAGTACTGAGCGAAGACAACTGTTAATGAAGGTCTGTAGTTTGTTTGAGGTACCCTTTATGACGAGCCTACTCTCTGATCCGAGTAGTAACGAGCACTGACTTCATTTCGGAGTTGAAAATCCGGATGTTATTTTTCATATTGAGTGCTGTTGACCTCCACACAGACTTGAGAGTAACTAAGCTTGTCTTGCTACCCGATCCTCACTGCTTTGATATCCTCGTCAGTTCCGTCCGCCTGTTGTTGAAACGATGCTTCCCAGGTATGTAGGTAAAGGAAGTTGTTTCTTTCAGGTTCATCCCATATATATATATAAACCTTTATCGACCTCATTCAGCGGTTTGTATAATGATGTCAGGTGGTTCACAACGGAAAACTCACTGTGTAGACTGGAGCAAGACACAACTGCCTACTATCACTAACACCTGATGGCAATCCTGTTAGTTGTGGGCTGGATCACAGACCAGACAGTGAGGAGAAATACGAGGTGCACACATTGGACCGGAACGAAGACTCTAGACTGATGATGGTGATTTATGTCTGGTTCCTCCACCCCTTCACACACACGCACAAACTCAAAGATCTACAGACGAAACCCGACAGGTTGAATGAGGAGGCAGTGAAGACAGAACTTATAGTACACAGAGAAGACAGAGATTATAACGATACCTAATCGCCGCTAACAACGAGCATCGATGGGAGTAAATTTTGTAGTGAGGGCTGGCTGCTAGCCAAAATTGGTAGATGGTAATTTACATCAATCTGTACATCCCCAATATTAGGGTCATGAGAAAACTACGAACGAAGACTGACTCAACAACCAATCACAGCAGACTTTCTTTGCGTAGGCGGATACAATTTGAAGATAGATAATCTGAACTTCAAGAAACAGCCACAAAGTGATGAAAGATTAACGTTCAGTGAGAAACAACCACCAATCAGAAGACTGTGTTTTTCTGCTAGCAATAATCTATAATAATGTACATGAAAATCCATAAATATCTGTTGATTTGCTAAATAAACGATCTGTTTGGCTAACCCTTGTCTTCTGTTGTCACAATTTCAACATAAATCACTCCTCTCACTTATCCATTCAGCAGTGTAGTATCAACTACAGGCAGCGCATGGATGAGGAAACCAAAGCCAGACACACACACACGTGTCCACTACTACTCTGAAGTCAGCAAAAGGAACAAGATTCAGGCTTTTAACACAAATGTCAAGTCAATCAGTCAGTCAGTCACTGCTACTTTTTCCTTTTAGTGCTTCATATACTTGGCGTACATACACACGTCTTGAAAAGTATTTTCAACAGGCGACTGGCATACTTTTATCACACATCTAACCCCTTCGCTCGATGATGATGAAGATGAGATGATAGATTGGAAACAATATCATTATTATTGTTCCCTTGGGTTCCTAGTGGAAAATTGGGCTTCAACTGCACATCTCCACTTGCTTCTGCTGTACTTTTCACCTGCATCCATGTCAGTCCATACTGTCTCAACTCCTCTCTGTTCACACGATCTCCTCCATGTCACCCTTGCACTGACGTCCCACTCGCCACGTGCTTTCCTTTCGGCCTGGTTCCACTCGAGCAATGGCCTGACGCCCGCTCGATGTCACCCAGCGGCCTCCTCAGCGAGTGTCCAATGTGTCATCTCCACTTTCTCCTGCATATTTTTTGTTGGGTGATTGGTTCTTGTTTTGTTTGTTCCCATAGCTAATTTCTTGTTGGTGATTCTTTCCAGCCCGGCCATCTGATCTTCAGTATAGAGCCAGCGAAGATAGTTTTTGGTTGATGAAGGTCTGCAACAGGCTGTTGGAAATATTCTTTGTGACCCGCCCGCCAAGTTTCTCATCCGTATAGAAAGAAGAACTGACTTGACGTTTGTATTAAAGACCCGACCGAATTTTGTTGTTGATGCTGAGTTGAGTGATGAAGATTTCCAATTGGTTTCAGGTTGATGAATGTGTGCGTTTCTCGCCTTCCCGATTCTCACTCGATTTGACATCCTCGTCCATTCCGACTGCCTGTAGTTGAGACAATGCTCTCTAGATGATAAGTGAATGAAGTAACCTCTTTCAAATCTCTTCCATTCATGTTGATTGGCGCTGGATGTTGCAGTTGTTGTTGGTGGTGGTTGGAAACAATAAGGAACAGAGGACTCTAGCAACGGATAAACCAAGAGCCTGTTGACAAATAAACATATCGAAGGAACAAGGATATAGACTGGACATACGCTGAGGAGATTGTTGAGTGAAATCACACGCCAGACAGACAGACAGACAAGTGCACTCAAGTGGAACCTGAATGAGAAATGACAAGTTTGAGGTATAATTTTTTTATATTTTTGATTATAGCTTGATTCCACACCGTATTTTCGGTACAAGTATGAAATTTTCAAGCATATGATATCGGTAGCCCAAATTTTGTAGGGGCCGACAATTGATATCAGATATGCATCGGCAGGGGGATCGAACTCCAGACCATGTGCATGGTTGGCGAGAGTCATAACCATGGAGCTAGGTGGAAGAGACTAAAGAGAACATAGTGACACGGAGATGTGATGCTGAAGCCGCCTTGTGTTCCAGTTATGACTAACTTTAAGTGACTCTTTATACCGTATAACGTTCGGTTACAACAAAATAGCACAAATGAAAAAATCATCACTTACAGCAATTAACCAGATCGATACATAACGTAACAGTACCAACTGTACAAACACCATCATGTAGAACAGGCGAGAGAAGAAACTCCATTCCTGTGTAACGAAACGAAAGGATAAAATAAATAAATAAATGCATACTAACTAGTAACTGATTGTATCAAGAAAAAAGATAATAAATCAAACGCAATTATGAAGAATAATAACTTCAACAGGTAGTAGCCTTCAAAAAAAACTCAGATCCTAATCGGAGTGAGCACGTGTCAACACTGATTGCGCGATGAAAGTAAAGTTCAGCTGACAAATTTTAAAAAATGGAATGAAATTTAATCCGAACCTAGTTACACTCTAAGCTATATGGCGAGTCAAGTGAATGGCTGTCCCACAATAACCTTGATCAGCCAATCATGTGAGCCTATAGTAAATAGGTGGAAATATGGATACTGTGCACGAATCACGTTGTAAACTCCATCAAGATCAAGTGCTTACTCTACTAGCTGTCAATGATCATAGGTGCCTCCATTCTATCTCCCGTATGAAATGGTATAGTAGGGTGAGCAATATCGATATTAGGTATCGGTTGAGTGCCACGTATGTGGCAGACACAATCAATCAACAAAGCTGTGAAGCTACATCGATTGAGATGGTTAGGAGATGTGGTCTAGCTATCGCCTTCCTCGACTGACGGGCAATGTTAGCTGACATAAGGTCAGGTTGGAAGAGTTAGTGGTGATCAAACCAAAACATGGCCTCATCAGTCAATGAAATCCACAACAGTTAGTTTAAGCCAGCCAGTAACATAAAGAGATATAGACTTCCAGGCTAGTTGGGGTCCTCGTGATGGTATAAACACCAATGACAATTGATGATGTGGCTCAAAATCGTTGTCAATAACAGAGCAGATGCATCCACTCCTTGTGATTTATAATTTCCAATGAAACTATATTGTTCTTCGTTATTACTATTCCTTTGCCTCACACCTCGGTTTATTGTCCCTATTATGCATTTCTTCTACTTTCTTCTCTTGCTTTGTGTGCTACATGGAGGTAGTGTGGCAACTTGAAGTGCTGCACATCGGTACAAAGTTCTATGTGGAAGACAGACAGACAGACTTACTTCAGTACTGTCAAGATAATCGGCTTATAAAAAAAAACAATAAAAGATGTAAATGTGAAGGAGAGATATGCAGCCGCCATTGATAGATATGAGCACGGATGTTGAGATTGTTGTTGCAGAAAATCTGGCCAAGAAGGTATGTCGTTCTTTTTTTCAGCTCATGGGTTACAAAACAGTATGTGATATACATCCCATATGAAATAGTGCACCATTCCTTTGTGATGTAACAGTGGTGTTTTTTACTGGATGGGGTGTAAGAGCTAGCCTCACGCCCAACCTTCCCTCATTATTGGGCTTATTACTGACTTAGCGAGGTAAAAGTATGCATCGGTGGTTGATCGAACACTCCTGCCCACTTGCGTCGATTTATTGGACCAAAGTTCTCGGTCTCAAGTTGACATATCAGCCCAAGTGGTCTAGTGGACAATGCTTTGGCGTTTGAAACTATAGACACTGGGTTCGAGCCTCTATGATGGGAACATCATCACTTACTGGGGAATGGAGGTTGATCCAGATGACGAGTCCCGAATAAGACGAAATGTGCGTTATCCTGGATTCCACTGCTAATCACCATTCACCAGTTAACTTCTTAACAGAAGAAATATTTGAATACTACATTACTCATAGTTATGAACACTATATATGACGCTAAGCTTTATCAGAATAAGAATCACTATAATGTTCGAGTGCATATCACTCATTGATTTACGTATATGTCTGTCTGTCTATCTGTTTTCGACATAGAACTTTGCACAAATGTGCGGAAGTTCAAGTCGCCACACTCCGTGTAGCACGCGAAGCAAGAGAAGAAAGTACAAGAAAAGCATAATAGAAACAGTGAGCAGAGGTGTGAGACAAAGGAGTAATAAAGAAAAACAAAACAGTTTCATTGGAAATCAACAGTCACAAGGAGTGGATGCATCTGCGCCAGCCAGCCATTGAGAACGATTTTGAGCCATGTCACCAATTGTTTCCAACCATAGATTTTTACCGTCCCGAAGACCCCAACCAGTCAGGAAGTCTACACCTTCCTACGTGGCTGGTTTAGACCAACTGTTGGGGATTTCATTGACTGGTTAAGCCAAGTTTTTGTTTGACCTCCGCTAGCTTTTTCCAGCCTGACCCTATATCCGCTAACATAGCTCGTCGAGGGAGGCGGTGGCTTGGCATGCAAACGTAACACATGTCCTAACCATCTCAGTCTTTGTAGCTTCACGACTTCGTCGATTGATTTCCCCTGTTTACCTAGAACTCTACGTATATAGGTCAGTGGTCTCAAACTCAGATTCATTCACCGAGTTTTTGGGCGGTGTCTTACTGTCAAATGGCGTATCATTGTAAGTACCTACTGTTGAGTGACAACTCTTCAAGTCTAATCTTCACAGATAAATGTTTCATGCTTGCTTAACAGCTGAAAACACAAGTTTCAACTCTCTCTCTGTCTCTCTGTCACACAATATGTTTCCTGAATGCATTCAAATAAAAACCACCTTAATTATATTTTAGATTTTCCCGTCGATTGACTGGACTGAACCGAAGTGTTCGGTCCCAGGTTGACATGTCGGCTTCTTATGTAGATGCTTTGACGATGTCTAGGCATTTAGTTAGAATTTAATTAGTGGATGGTGACCAGCAGTGGAATCCACCAGGATAACGCGAATTTCGTTCTATTTGGGCCTCGTAATCTGGATGTACTTGCATTCGGCAGTGAGTAGATGATATTCCCATCACCGAGGCTCGAACCCAGTACCCATAATTTCAAACGCCAAAGCGTTATCCACTAAACCATTTTAGCCACGAGAGCCACCATATCTTGTGCAACGGGTCATATTAATTATTTAATTGAATTTCAGATTTTCCCGTCAACTGCTTGAATCAAATAATTATTATGACACGTTGCACTGCAGGTGGCTCTCGGGACCCAAGTTATCCAGTGGATAACGCTTTGGCTGGTGTTTGAAACTATGGACACTGGGTTTAAGCCTCAGTGATGGGAACATCATCATCGCTCACTAACTGGGGAATGCAGGTACATCCATCCAGCTGACAAGTCAGTCCCAAATAGGACGAAATGCGCGTTATCCTAGTGGATTCCGTCATTGCTTCGGGTACCTGAAACAGAAAGAGGGTTAGTGTTGCGTGACCACAGAGCCCAGTGGACAACTGCTTGAGACCGGCCGGTCACACCCGGCCTGTATGAATTGGTTTCTAGGATTGGTTCCGTATTAGTAAACTTACCTCCGGTTACGGAACACCGTAAGTGGGGTAAGTCGGGATGCACAATTTTTGGGGTCGACCTTTTCTAACCCCCTCTTCCTCTCTCCAGAGTGGAGAGATAGCATAGCTGGCTGGCTGGCATGCTGGTCATCTGAGAGAAACACCTCACTGCTGTTACACCCCTGTACCCCAGTAGCAGTACGACTTCGTCCTCAGACCCGCACAGCATAGTGTCCTGTGGCATGGTAGGACCTGCAGGAACATTGGTTCCAACCAGTGTAGCTTGTTGGGTCATCACGATGTGCAAGCCTGAGACCACCACCACATCAAGATAGCAGCTATCGGTCGAGTATACAAGTCTATTTCAACTAGTTAGATTTAAGCAGCTAGCTAGCTAGCTAGCTGGAACAGTAGCATATACACACACATACACACACACGATATAGTACACGAAAAATACTGGGGTATTTCAAAGTTTCATCTATACCCTAACCATACCAAAACACAAGGTTGCTTGAATGAATATACACAAAGGAGGAGGATGAGAAGGGGGAGGAGTAAAAAACATAAATTGGTCAAAATAGAACATGTTTCTGTTCTCGTTTGTTTGTTTGTTTGTTATTTCCTTAAAAGATAATCAATAGCTCAACAACAACAACAACAAAAACAAAAACTACAACAAAGATAAAAGAACCTAATTACAGGCCAAAAAAATAAAAGGAGAAAGAAGCGCGGTAATAGAGAGAGTGTGATGACTTTGAGGTATGTTTTATCTTGTAAACAATCATAAAGGATCTGCATATGTATATATGGGTGTGTTTAAACAATATTGGCAACATTATAAGTAGTATGTCAACATTAATTTAATTACTATTATTATTAATTATTGTTGTTATTATTATTATTATTATTATTATTCAGTTACCAAAGAAACAATAAGGCAAATAAATAACAAAGGAAGGCAAAAAGGAGTGAAAATCAACACAAAGAGCGAAGGATACAACACACATTAACACTAGTAAAAAAGTAAAAATAAGAAAGATGAAAAGGAATAAGAACAGCGATAAATTTCTCAATAGTTGTCAGAGTTGAATGGCTCCTTCGTTGATGGTGGTGGTGGTGATGTTCGCGTTCAACTTCCAATAAGTAGGTTACCGGTTCAAAACTGGCTCCATCTAGGTGAGAGAGGTATTTTACCAGCTCCCCCCCCCTCCAACCACAAACACATATAATAGGTGTGATTTATTGCCGACTAACTGTAGAGAATTGTGCAGGTGGTTGTTGAGTAACATTCTGGCTGACTGGCTTCAAAAACAGAAAGTTTTACAGACGTGCAGTAGTTCGAACTGCTACACTCCCTTCATGTAGCCATACAAAGCAAGAGAACAGAAGGTCAAAATAGACATAATAAACAGAAGTGTCATGGGAAAAGAATAGAAGTATGGAAGAACAATAGAGTGAAAGCTATATGACCAAACATGTCCAACCATCGGTCGTCCTTACTAACCTGACGAACACAACCAGGGAAGCCAGTCTACGCAACCCTACGTGACTGGCTTAAAGTAGCGTTTATGGATTTGTTTGACTGATGAACTCATGTTTTGGTTTGACCAACACTAGCTAATTTCCTAAATGATCAGTCCTGTTTCAGTTAACGTTGGTCGCCGGTCGAGGAAGGCGATGGTTAGGCATACGTAACACATGTCCAAGCCATCACAATCAATATAACTTCACAACTTCATCAAATAACTTAACCTTCTTAC